ACTGAAAGGAAGTGCTGATGCCTGCTCAAACTGAAAATAATATAAACAATTACTATTGACTATGCTCAGACTGTTAACTTAACTGATTAACTAGTGGTGCCCGGGACTTAGGTTCTTCCTTGGATCGACTGTTTCTCTGCTGTCTGTGGCCGGTTTTGTTTGTCGATGAAGGGCCTTGAATATATTTATTGTTTTTATTTCTATTGTTTTGGTTTTTTTTTTGTTGTTGGTGTTTGTGTTATGTAGGACTTGTGTTTTTGGTTTGGGCCGTTGGCCTCAGTTTCTTATTCCGTTGGGGGTCGTTTTTCATTACTCCGTAGGGGGTTGTTTCTCATTCCTCCGTGGGGGGTCGTCGTAGTTATGTGGTTGTTGTTTTGAGTTTTCTTTCAAACATTGCTAGTCGGGATTCTAGGCGGCCTCCTGACCTGTCCTCCCACTTTTCAGCCGTTGGATGTTTTGTATTCACACATTTGTGCGCTTTTGATTTATAATAATATATATCATTTCGGTAAAAAAATGTAATACGTTTTAAAAGAAAACGTATTCTGAAAATACGGTTTAATACAGTCACCTCGAGATCGTGTAAGCTTGTCTCGACTCAATTCCTTTAATTAACTCAAAACTCTATATGAATCGTTCGTTAAACACGAATTGTTGTTTCCTATCAATTGTAAAGTTTGATTGTTTCATTTAAAAATCATATGAAAGATATTCTTTTTTTTTTTTTGTGAACAGTATCAACTCGACTCAACTCATTTATCCTAGTCATCTTAAGATTCCTTCTTATCCCTTTAAGATTCATTCTTATCCCTTATGTCTGTTTAATCTTGCGCCTCAATTTCCTATGGAGGACTTGTGGTATATTCAATTTCAACTTTTAGAGACTTTTTAAGACTTTCAGAATTCTGGTGTGTTCAATTAGAACTTTTAGAAACTTCTGAAAAGTTTACCTGTAATCAGTTAAGACTTTTAAGATTTTTAATAAGTCTCTAAAAGTCTTAGGGTATTCAATTAAAAATTTCTGAGAGTCTCTATAAGTTACCCGGTATTCAAAACAAAAAGACTTTGTGAGACTTTTTAAATTATGAAACTTTTAGAGACTTTTATAACAAAATTACAAAGAAAAAGTCTCAACAGAAATCTCATCAATATTGGTGAGATTTTGTTGGACTTATGTGACTCTCTTCACGCACTCTTTCTTTTTTCTTTCTAACACGACTTTGTATCTTATATCACTCTCATGCTCTATTATTTTACTTATTTATTTTTATACCTTGTATAATTTTTATTTTCATTACATATATTCATGTGACCTTTTATTTTATATATTCTATATTATGCTTATTTTATGTGTGCATACATTTATTCTCACATTTTGCTATCTTGTGAATTTGACTTTTCAAAGTTAAATGCTTTCATAATTTGCACTTGCAAATATTCTATTTTTTCTCTCTTTTTATTTGTAAATGCTTGTTTCAAAATATTTAAAAAAATATTTTAGTTTCAAATAGTTTATTTGGTGATATTGAAATATTTTTAATATTATTGATAACTTTATAAGATACAATTACTGTTTTTCGGCAATGTTTGTATCTTGTAAAAATATATAATAATAATATTTTTCTAATATAGCAACATTATGCAAAAAATATAAAAAATAAAATCAATCAATACTTTGATAAATATATTTTAATTTTGGTTAATTATAAGTGTCGTTGTAGCAGAGATGTCTAACACATATTTGTGCTTGTGCTCTTTTAACAAACAAATATAAGGCTCTGCCCGAGTTCGACTCGTTGAAGTTCGGATCGATTTACTCGTTTAATAAATCTAAAATCCTGAACAATTTGTTCGTGAATAACTCATTTCGCATAACATTGAGTTGATTTATAAAATTTTTAGAAGATTAATATATACAACAACTTTTTCATGTATCATTTTGATATTAGTTATTATTCTACGTTTATTGATATTTTATTTAAACATAATATTATAACGTCAGTTATATAAAGGCTCAATAAGTTTTAAAAATTCCATCATCAAACTCTTAAATGGTCACTGATGAAAATTCTATGAAAGTCTCAAAAAATCCACGAAAGTCATGAAAGTTATACAAAATCTCAAAAGTCACCAAATTTTTTTAAAAAAAAAATTAAAAAAAATTCTTAAAAATCACAATTGAATACACCTTAATATGAATCGCTTGATTAGGACAATATATTGTCATTGATGACGATAGAAAATCGCGTTCTAGAGCGTTTGATATTCAATATGTAAAATAATAAATATGTAAAATAATAAATAACAATTATTATTTTATAATAAAAACTAAACACGCGCTTGCCCCTATTGCATGGGGGCGGCGACTCCATGTCCTGTGGCCCCAAAAAAACACGGATTTCTTTCTTTCTTTTCTTATTCCCTAAGCTATAAACAACGAACACTTCACATGGGGACACCACATGACATGACCCTATCTATCCTTATAAACCATTTTACAAACTTAGTACATATTTTCCTATAAGTACCAAAAACCATTCCCCCAAACACATAAATCTCAATTCCCTTAATTAATCTCCATCGAAACCAAACAACATATGATGGCATTATCAACTCGTTCTAATTTCATATACTCCTCACCAATGGCAAAGGCGCCGAGATTCTCCACAAGTCGGATAATAATCAAACCGAACTCCGTTAGCGTGCGAGCATCGAGGCACGACCACGACTTCAGCGGGAGGCTTGTGGACGAGAGCATGATCGTCCTCCGCATGAGGATACACGAGATGATGAGGACGAGCGACGGCCCCCCGAGCGAGTGGATGGATTGGGAGAAGGAACTCTACGCGGGTTATGATTCGTTGATATGCGACGCGGTGGGCCACCTGCAGTCGTATTTGATGGACACGAGGCCCGGCGTGGCCCTCGGGATGGCCACACTAATTGCTGTGAGCCTACCCATTTCAACTCTATTGCTTCTATACAATTTGTTGTTGCTCATTAAAGGTTTCTTATAATTGGATTACATGGGAGAGAGGGATAACTTCATCTTTAGCTAACTTAATTTTTTATTGCTTGCTTTGTTTCTCTTCTTTTTGTTTTTCATTTTCTTTCTCATTTTTTTTTTTTTTTTTTTTTTTTTTTTTTTT